TAATTTAGTGTAGGAAACATTCAAAAAATATTTTTTTGTTGTGTTGTGAATTACCTCCGTCTTATTCCCTACGCACAGACTTGATCTTCTGTAGGTTTCCCCATTTATTCCCCTTCTCCGATTTTCTGCTGCATTGTGTCAATGATGTAAAACAAGAGAAAAATACATTATCATTATTATTATTTACCCCCAGTGTGTGTGAGTTGAGACTGTCCTGAACGAATCGTTCTTTTAGATAATTTGATTCATCGCCAGTCTTCAACTATGCCCCCTCACTACAGAATTCTTAGTAGATCGATTATTTAGAGGAGCAACAGAATGGCCACCACGATCACCCGACATATCACCTTCAAATTTCTTCCTATGAGGTCATCTGAAAAAGTTTGTTCAACGCTATACTTCTGATACCATATTTACAATTCGGAAAGTGCAGCAGATTCATTGAATGGTTAGATCGTTGAATTAGAAATTCATTTCAGTTCCACCTCCACCTCTATATCCGATTTTTTTCAGAGATTAAATGGGATGGAAAAACTTTAAATAACTTTTCTGACTGGTGTATTACTGAATGAAAACATCTATTGCACTCGTAAATTTCAAAATAATTTATTTTTTATCATGAATCGCAAGATAAATGATCATCCTGTTTAGACACCCGAAGAAGTTCCAAGAAACTAATACCCACACAACATCCATCAGTCACAATTTGCTGCAAGATACCTCCTTTTTCAAAACTCATCCCGATCATTTCTTTCAATAAAACCGGCTGAAAACTCTCATTTTATACGGAAGCCAACCACCCCTCGGCCCATTGTGGATGATAAACGATGCCCCGCGGGGCGCAACACACCTAATAAATAAAAAAACACCATGAATCGTGCTTACATTTTTTGCGAGCAGCTTCCCGTATGTGATGTGAGCTGGAACATGGTCAGGTTGAGCATGCAGGGCGGCCATGTACCATCTCTCCGCTTCCTCGTCCTGCTGCAACCTTGCCAGGGTCTCCCCCAACACGTTGAACACGCTCTGAAACAAAGGGTGCACGATCGTAAATCACTCGGTCACTAGAACAGACAAACCTAATATAGTACGGGGGCCAGGGGATTATTATCTTCTCTATTTCAATGTAGTATGTGAGAGGTGTTTTCGTCAATTTGTTATCTAGGAAAAATGCATCTGATGAAAACACTTTCCGTTCAAAGTTTCAATGGTAAGTGAGATATTTTTGCAACTTGAACTAGAATATTAGGTCTAGGAATCAGCAAATAACTTGAAGATATTCTTTGCATTTCTTTAATGTCCCCCCCTTTTATTTTTTGAACGGGTCAATTTAAAAAATTGAAATTTTGGGAAATGAAATTGATGCATGAATACGTTATTTTGAAGTGAAATTGACAGATGAAACTTTCAAGATGGCGACTGAACGCCATCTGGAAAAAAAATTAAATAGGAACGGGGTTTTGTGACACATCATTTTGAAGCTCCTGAGGAATACTTCACAACCCTAAAATATGAAGTCAATATCAACAAAATGGCGGAACATTTGATGATTTCCTGAAGACAAACACATTGATATCGATATTTCTAGAAATATTCCTATTTATCTGCCATATGGTAATTCCAACAACACAATAAGTTTTGTTAAGTTATTTTTTTGTTTATGAAAACAACAAAAACTATCAGTACGACAATGAACATCATGTTCAGTTGGAATATTCTCATTCAGTTTTCGGTTTTACTACTAGAAAGGTACCACGTAAACAATCTCCAAAATGGTCAATTCTCGTCCATTGGAAAAAACTTGAGCAATTTTTATTTACTGTGCCACGCGTAACTTTCACGAGACCGAAAGGATTTTCAGTGAACGTTTCCGAATCGTCATATCTGTAGAAAATATTTGAGGAAACTTATATCCGGTGGTGTACATAACAAAAAGCCCCAAGGTCATCCGTCCATTCCGGAAGAACAGTAAGTGCAAATAAATGATGAGAATCCTGAACAGTCTACTTATTGCATCGCGAATGTTTGTGAGGTGTCTCCTTCTACTGTGTGGAGACTTTTGAACAGGAATAGGTATCATCCATACAAAATTGAAATGGTACACCAATTAACTGAAGATGACCCTGATCGAAGGACAGAATTCGGCGAAATCAAGGCATTCTACCTATCTCCATAATATTTGTTTAAGTGATGAATGTACATTTTTTCAAACGGCAATGTTCACAGACAAAATTGCCGTTATTGGAGTGACACCAATTCTCATGTTTTACGAGAAACACATACCCAATATCCAGAAAAAACGTTTGGGCAGGAATATTGGGAAACCATATTGTAGGACGTCTATTCATTGATCAAAATTCAACAGGGAAACTGTATTTGAATATACTGGAAACTACTGTTTACTCTCTCATCACTGAAATCGTCGTAGCGAATCCTCATGAATTCGATATGGATATTAATTGTATTCCAACAAGATGGAGCACCACCACATTACTCCAGATAAGTAAAAACTATTTGTATACTACTTTTCCCGATCGTTGGATTCGCCGTCCACGTCCTACAGAATGGCCAGTACGCTCGCCAGATTTGACACCTTTGGACTTTTTTATAGGACCATTTGAAGCAAAAGTTGTACGAAACTGACCCTGCTTCAATATTGACTATACGACAGAGAATAATAAATATTTGTAGATATATTGACGTTACAGTGTTCGTAAATGTTCGGTGTGAAATATCGGATAGGCTGTTCATTGTCAACAACTTCAAGGCAACATTTCGAGCATCCTCTGAACTGACTTCAAGCTTATTACCTGATATTATGTAGTTAAATGTCAATGTATTCAGGCAATTATTGAAAGTTCTGTAATTAGTAGTTAAAGATATTTTGACATTATATTCTATGGTTGTGAAGCATTTGTCAGGAACTTTAAAAAGATGTGTCACAAGACCTCCCTTTCTGTTCAATTTTTTGTTCCCAGATGGCGCCCAGTCGCCATTTTGAGAGTTTCATCTGTCAATTTTACTGCAAAATGAAGCATTCATGCATTAATTTCATTATTCCAAATTTCAATTTTTAGAGTTGACCCGTTCAAAAAAACAAAACGGGGGACATTGAAGAAAAGCACTGTATGTCTAGACTAGCCTGTATTTTAAATATTGTTATCGCTCCTATTCAAGCTATACAATGTCTAAATAGTATAAAAAATTCCTCAATACACCTCTATTTTCATGCTAAGATATCTTGAGGATTATCTCATCAACCACGTTACTCATATTTTCAACACCAATTTAGGGACAAATCGTGTTTTATCAATTTGAAAACAAGTCACTCCACAACTCTTACTGGATTATGATACTTCAAAGATACTGTCACACTCAAAGCCTATCAGTAAATTGCCAGTATTGTCCAAGGTCTTTGAGCTGATTCTGAGAGATTGAATCGATCAGTTCCTCAATGAATTTCATATAATTACTGGGGTCCAATCTGGATTCTGAATATCTCAAAGCACTACTACAGACATACCTTACTAACATCACTTAGGATTCATTTATGGTCACTGATGAAACTTATTTAACACATGGTGCTCTCGAATTACGGCAAGGCGTTTGATAACATTGTTCATCATAATCTGTGTAATGAGCTGGCGTGTTTGGATTTAGCGATGTGGCTGGGGAACTTTGGAAGAGCTGCCTGTGTCATTCTTCCTAAACCATTTATTCACATCGTCAATACTCACCAGTAAATGATTCAAACTGACTTATTGCCTAAGTTTGAGCCTTTTATATGAATCTGAACTAGCCAACACATTTGGTGTGAGCATCATGATTTGAGTGAAGCTATTTTTCTGGGTTTGTTAAAATACCTAGTATTTGCCTGATTGCTGATGATTACTCAAGAGAGTAAACAACCAATTGTCTCAATGAGAGGATCTCGTACGAAAAATCAATAAAATATTACGGAGTTCTTTCGATTTTGTAACATAGTAACACAAGAAACTCGCAAGTGGTTGGTTGCGAGATTAATTTTTTTAGTGTCTTTGAACATATCTCCCTGATTTCCAAGGGTTTTCATAACCAAATCGATAATATATTCCACTTTTTTGGGATTATTGAGAAATGCAGTGGAATTGCAGAAAATTGCATTGAGCAGAATTAATTCCAGCTGAATAAATGTTTCAACAAACAGTGCGAGAATACGGTGATGGGAAACTTTGCCAGTCTGTTTATAAGCAGATTTGAAGTGGAAGCATGAAAATAGTTGATTAATTTCCAGTATATGATTTGTGGATGATGCACCTATTTGAAATTTTTGAAACAAATGAAAGTGGGATACAAAACTTCTGTTTATTGCCGACAACAGATCCCTGGATTCAAAGTTTACGTTTGACATTAGAAACAATAAGGATTAGGAACTTGTTGTATTTTCAGTTCAGACAAGTTGGAGCCTAGCTGCCTTACCCTTGCCGCTGTTTTTTTTTTAGAAGGACAAATGGATTCCTGACTGAGGTGGTGGCGGTATTGAATTCCTCAGACAGTAGTACCGCCCTTCACGGTGTATCCCTACCTGGCTGGGGTGGAATGGATGAAAAAATTGTTCATCCATTAAAGGGAGCCGTATGGGCCTCATTCGACAGAGTCTCGGGGCCTTCCATATCAGGAGGGGTCGTCTACAGCATACTCTATAGCTTCCCTATCTAACGGATTATCGTGAATTTCCGCACAATCAAAAACTAGCCGATTCCTCGACTGAATAGACTGCTTGATGGAAGGCAGCTGCAAATCTCGGCGAATGGCTTCATTCCACATGATCCATGGATCATTCAGAATCATCCGTATTAGCTTATTTCGTAATCTCTCCAGAATGGAGTTGGAGTCGCTTGTCCCCAGTCGCCTGAAGCATACATGATGATACGTTGCATGTAGACGACCCCGAGCTCCCGATCCATGGAAGATGAGAGGAGAGCCGTATTATCGCCGTAGAGAGATATCTTCACACGCTCGGATTGCTGTATTTTGAAGGAATATATAGTTATACTATCATATCTAGTTTACAAAAAATATCGATGAAAAATTCCACTTTTTTCAAATGAGTCTGCTTCCAGAATGATGGATGTTGCCTAATTCAGATCTTGATGAAATCATCTATGAAAGATAATGACTTATTTACTTTCGGATGGTAAAAGTGTTGAATTGATATCGGTGTAGATTGAAACACTAGCCAAAAACAACAAGTTTTCGTGTGTTCCGAAAACATCTTAGGTTATAAACAATGAATACATTAATAGATTTTGTTCTTTTTGAACGTCTTGTGACAAATTAATGAATTAACTGTCTGGAACAAATTTATTTTCAACAATATTTCACTAATCACAAACCAATTCATTCACAACACTCAGCAAATAACGATTAATTCATTTCCACTATTTAAATTTCTTGTTTATTCGCTCAATTCACTTGCTAAACTGCCCTCTTGGGTCAGGAAGACATGCTTATATTGGTGACGGTCCTTTATAAAAATCTGTAGTCGGTTCGGCAGTCGAATTTTACCGGCGATTCCCGATTGCATTCTTTCGGGGTGATTTCATGTGTTTGTTCCATGATTCGGCCGGCGTACTTGTCAGAGGCGGCTTCGTTTCGATCTGATAATATCACAACTGGATTAGTTGTGCTTTTCAATGTCGTATTCACTGTGCAACTTATAAAATGAATAGAGTGAACATGATACTTCACGATTCAGGCCAACAGCTGTTTCGACACACTGTGCCATCTTCTGAGCACGTGATAAACTAACTTAGGCATATGACATTATCTCCTTGAATACTGAAAGTGATATGTGGAGAGAGATATCAAGAGTCTTTTGCGAAATCACTTATAATATTATTGATGATTGGAGGCTTATATCTATTTGTTCATTCAGAACAATGTTGTTTATATCAGCAATATGTTTTTTGATTTCGATAGATTTTAATATAATTAATTTCAGACTTTTTGGTTGAATGTGTAAAATTTCTGGAATTTGACGTGGT